GGGGGCTGGATTTAGACCACAAGAAAGTAGTATTTTTTAACATAAATTGCATCATGATTATGTAGTATTTTCTTACCACAAAGAGGACGGACATCCGGCAACTGTTAGTTTTAGTTAGTTTTATTAAGAGTTTTATGACACTTGCAACACAATAAGGTCATATAAGTGCCAGAAGAATAGAAGTGTTACAAGAGAGTAACAAACATAAAAAAGGAGAAGGGGAGATAAAGACGACAGATGTTTCATAGGAAAGAAGAAGCAAACCACACCAGAGCACCCGCCAACGACCGTTTAGTGCCGGGGAAATCCACGAAAGACTTACAGAAACAACAGGGGGACAGAAAACACGTAGGACAGACCAGTGGCGCTCTCCAACCTCCTGCAACAACGCTCATTGTATCATACTCATACTACTGGAAAAAGTTTTGTTTTAATAAGTGTTTTACGGCACTTGCAACACAATTATTAGGTCATGTAAGTGTTGAAAATTAGAGATCTCTATATGTTACTAACATTGTTAGAAGAGAGTCAACACCATACACAAAAAGACGAGGAGATATAAATACGATAGGTGCTTGATAGTAGGAAAAAAGGAGCAAGCCACCACAGCACCCGCCAACCACCCACATGTCATACTACAGAGAAATACAAAAAAACAAAAAAGCACCAACAACGCTGCATCTCATTTATCATTAGAACATTTATTTATGACATCTTCCAAACATTTGAATTTGACAAGTGTACATTTAATTCATCATGTTCAATAACACTGGACGGAACGTAAGAAACAGAAGAATTCAAAGTCAAAGTGTGCATTACTTTGGTACCGTAAGCAGTCGATGAAAAGAAACAGCTACAGTGCAGCCTTTCTATAACGACATTGTCGGCAACAAAAAATATCACTCATGATATTATAGGGAAAAATTGGGACCTGGGCACAATGTCGCTATACAGAGGATGTCGTTATAGAGAGGCTGCACTGTATATTATAGTAAGCAGTTGAGGAAAAGGAGTAACAAACACCAGTGGCCTATATACGACGTATGACTATGAGGAGATGTCAAGGCATGAAAGAACCCAGACAATGTTTAGTAGAGGTTTTACAGCGCTCGCAACTGCATAAGGTCATATGAGCGCCAGAAGATTAGAGGTGTTACAAGAGAGTAACAAACATAAAAAAAAGAAGGAGAGATAAGGACCATAGATGTTTGATAGGAAAGAAGAAGCAAACCACACAAGAGCACCCGCCAACCACCCACATGACAGACATCTGTGTCTACAGGAAATTGTTTGTTTGCTTACGCCATGAGAAGCACATCGACACAACAACAGTCATTTAGTGCATGGAAAGAATAAGACAGACAGACAGACAGACAGACAAACGGAAAAGACAGACAGACAGACAGACAGATGGAGAAAGAATCAATTTTTTAGTTTAGTTGTAGTACGGTAAAAGTTTTACAGCACGTGTAAGACAAAAAAGGTCATAAGCGCCGAAGATAAGAGATGTTACCAAAGTGTAACATACAAAGAAACGAAGCAGGAGAGATAAGGATGATAGATGTGTTTGATAGGACAGAAGGTGCAAACCACACGAGAGCACCTGCTAATCAGTCACAAAAGAATAGACAGAGTGAATAAAAAGAAGCAGGACTTATCAGTAGTGCCCTCTTCCAGAAAATAGTGTTTCTTAAAAGTGGACATGACATACAAAAAACATGTACAGTAAACAAGCATATCACACCAATGTCTTCGAATGCTTCACTGAAAGATCTGATTTAGGAACATACTTAAAAGAAAACTATGCATACAGTAGTATAAAATTGAACCCTTGTTGTAAAAATAACAGCAACAAAATAAGACATTTAGAAAACAAACAAACAAAGGTATTAAAAAGCAATTCATTTACACATTTGTAAAGTCTTGTTACAATTGTACAGGTAAAAAAATACAAGTTTGACACCCGGGCACGCTACTTTGTCAAGGTACAGAGAAGTTACTTCAGTACAATAACCAGTCCTTTAAAAAAAAGTTTTAGTAAGAGTTTTACAGCACTTGCAACACAATAAGGTCATATAAGGGCCGAAGATTAGAGGTGTTACAAGGGAGTAACAAATACAAAAAAGAAGGAGGGGAGATAAACTATAAAGATGATAGATGTTTGATAGGAAAGAAGGAGCAAACCACTCCAGAGAACCCGCCAACCACCCATAACCAGTCCTTTTGTGATTAGAAAAGCAATGAAAAGAAAGAAAAGAAGTAGGAGGACCTTCCAGAGGTTTGGGTGTGAGGGGTGAACTATTGTGCCTTCTTATCTATCACACAACACTCAGCGGGCGCAATAATGCGACGCTGAAAATTATCCCTGCCCCACTCGACAATCAAACTCTGGTCTCCCGCGTGCGACAGCAAAGTGGCTAACCTCTACTCAACAGATGCTGGTAACTTTGAATGACAATGCAGGGTAAAAGTTCCTTTTTGAAAAAACCATAACGTGTTCCTTTCCAGTCACTTCCATTTATGACCTAAAGTAATTAGTTGAAAAGCAAGAGGAATAGAATCCTCTGCAAGCTTTCAGTTTCAAGAAGAGACGGATAATGTCCTTTTTATGATAGAAACATTCACAAATATTTGGTACAAATGCCAGAATCTTACCCTTCAAACCCCCC